TACAATTTTAAAAAAATAATGGATTAAAGCTAATTCACCACAAGTACTGTAGCCAAGGATTTTTTTCAGAGCTGAAAAATAGACCTATGATATTCATGAGATGAGTTCCTGTGGTCCATTATTAAGTTATGGTAACATAATACTTTTCAAAAGCACTTGCTTTCTTGACTAAAAGGATTTTCCTATGACTACTGTACTGAACTTCAAGGATCACCTACTTTTTACATGTATAATGACTTCACAGAACTGAATCTCTCAGATAAAACATAACTAGCATTGTATTTTTTGCAAGAGACTAGCAAGTATTTTTGTTTTTCCACTTAAGTCATGCAAGCTCCACGCTCTTGCATTTTCAGTTGCAAAACACATATATATACACACTTACATATGTAGATGTCATTCCCTTAGCAGTTACTGAGGTTGCACTTTTATGACAGGGCTAAGAAGTTCTGCCTGTGAGCTGTAGTCTAAGACCTACCCCACTTCCTCCATCTCTTATACTTCTACTTCCCTTGTGTTGCATCAATGCCTGTTGGACTACACTGTGAGCTTCCAACTTAGGTAGCTAAATAGAAAACCAGCCCAGAAGACACAACACACACACACAAAAAAAATCAAAACAAACCAACAAAAACCTCCAAAAAACCCACACACAGAAAACATGCACACAACCTTTTTGCCTATTTAGCTCCAGATTGGAGATCATCATTTCAAAGAAGTAGTGCAAGGAACATAGTGGGAGTATGCAACAGGGCAGGGGACACTTCCTTTCAATGACGTGGATGTTGGCTCATCTTGAAACCACAGCTTTACACATCACTGAGCTTTACAGCTGCCACATTCGCAGATGAAATCAACAGCATTAGTTACCGTGCCTAAGTGACTTGCACACAGCAGTACAATTTTAATATTAGGAATCATCATTACTGATTGCTATGGATGCTCTGCTTCTTTTTAGTGGTAGCCATCATTACATAGTACCTCGAGGCCCCTCTGGTATCAAAATCTCTATACTAGCTGATGAGAAAGCAGCTGCTTCATTCTATTCTAGTTTGCACTGTTTGCAAGTAAAAAGAAAGAAAGAAACCTAAAAGCTGTGTCAAAGGTGCAGACCTCGCACTGCAGGACATTTTAGCAGTACCACTTAGTTCATGATACACACCTCATTGCAGTAAAATGCAAGAGTCCATTCGCCTCTTCTCAAACATTAAGCTTTTTAAGCATTTTAAGGCAACAGTAAGGATGTAGTCCAGTATCACTCACACCAATACACGGTAATCAATAATCAACTGCAAGAAATGATTGCTATTACAATTTTTTGTAAGTAATCCTTTAAATCTTTTAACGAATGATTTTCCAACCACCAACATAGAGGGACAGTGGGTGCCTGTCAAACGGTGTATTACTTATCTTAAGATACTTGCTTGGAATCCTCTAATAAAAAAAAATATCTGGTAAATACTAGATGCATAAGTTTACATATTATGGTCTCTTTGAAGGAGAGTCTGAGCTTTCCTGTCTGTAAAATAAAAGTCATGCTTATAGTTTTGATAATTCATTAGTTATACTACAGGAATACCTCTATAACAGCACTCTGAAAGCACAACCAAATTACAGAGACTGTTAAACAGAGGGGAAAAAAACCCCCAAACAAACAAAAACCAACCAAACAAAAAAAACACAACCTCAAAACACTCAGAAGCTAGGGGAAAAAATACAAAGTTAAAGTTGCTTGTACGACCTTAATTCATTTCCTTTCTATCCTCAGTAGAAAATGCTAGGAACCTTATCTGTAGCCTCCACTACTGGTATCATAGCAATAGCTGCCTGCAACGTCAGCATTACAAGCAAAAATACCAGGCTTAGAAGAGAACATGAGAAACTGAATATCAAGATCATAAATCGCTAATGAAATACAATAAGTCGTTAAAAAAAAAAAAAAAGCTATTTGAATGATTTGCAGTTGCCTCCTTGGTGATAATGATCTGTATGTACAGTTGTGAAGGTGCCAAAAAGTTACTTAATTGAAAATCTGGCATGCGTTCCTTACTGCCCTATTCAATTTTTAAAATGTGAACTTAATTGCCAAAAATGAGAGGGGGAACATTACTTGCATTGGAGTTTGGAGAAAAAGAGGGAATTATTTTTTTTATCCATCATATATATGAAGAAAAAATGCCCTAACACTAATATGTTGATATTCAGAACTAAACACTAGAATGCCAGGTCTTGAATACCATCATTTGCTACCCATTTGTCTTGATGCTTAAAAGTCTCCTTCACAAAAGATAATTTTGCTATTTATCCCACCAAGCATTTTAGTTCTACAGAGCTGACCTACTGTCCATGAAAGATATTAAATTAAATCCAAGGGAAAGAAATGCAGATGATCAGATAACAGCTGTAAGTAGAAGGTTCATACTGTGCCCATTTCTCCTCTAGGTCTGTGGCAGATTTCCCTTGCACTGGGCCCAGGCCCAGAATCAGCAGACGGAGAAGCTTCTTCCCTTTTGTGTCTCAGTAAAAAGATTCAAAATTTTCCACCTTGAAACTCACATTACTGTGGGCTTTTCAAAACTGAAACTCTTTTACTATGGTAACAGGACCCAGTAGGTGCTCTTCATTAGCCTGATTAAGTCAGTCAAAATCTGTGGAAAGATTTTAAATAAATTCACTGGGCTTTGGGTCAGCAAAATGTAAATTAAGATGCAGCTCATAGTAAGTAATCCTGCAAAGGGTGGCTCTCCCTTTCCTCTCACTGAGTTCACGAAGAGTTGAGGACATCAGGTTCTCAATCTCTGACTGAGGTCTAAGATCTTTTAAAAGAATATCGGGTATGCTTGAAAGTTTCAGTGGGCTTTGTAGAGGCTGGACTTAAATCTTTTCCACATGCTATACAAAAACAATGCGACTTCCTACGTGCTGGGATTTGTTTCTGAAGTATCTAATAGCCCTATCCAGGATCTTCAGAACAGAGTTATGTTTCTAAATACCATTCCTTCTGATGGGGAAATAGAAATTTTCTAGTCTGAATTTAAAACCATTGTCCTCATGAACACAAAAGGGAGGTAAGAATAAAAAGACCTGTGGATATTTGAGTTATTTAGTAACCTAGTACTAAGATTTCACTTTCTTACCTTTCCCTTCCCCAAAAACCACTTCCATCACCTGGATTAGGAACAATACCATCAAAATCATCAGGAGTGCTCTGAGGGAAACATATGACTGAGTGCAGCAAACCAAGTATTTTTCTAAGGCAGGGCCCATGGTTAGTTGCAGATCTGAGCTCACGCTAACCAATGCAAGCTGCCCTGCTGCAAGCTTCTTACAATCTACAAGTAGGGTTTATTAGCTTGGCAGTAATGCAATTACAGGGGGCAGAATGACTGCCTGCAGTCTACTGGGAAGCCATATGCCAAATATCCTAAGTTTCAGGAAATATCCGAGATCTTAATAGCTCTGCAGTTCGTGTGGTTGAGGAAATGGGTTCTTAATTTGTCTGGCTCCAGTAGAATTGTTTTTCTGTTAACTGAGTAGGTGAAGGGTTTTTTGTTTGTGGGTTTTTTTGTTTGTTTTTTTTTTAAAACAGGAAACATTGTCTCCTTCAGAATTGGATTTAAAATGATCCTGAAACAGTTAAACAAGGCAGCTACAAACAAAGCAGATCCAACACTTAAGATCACGATGTTATGACTCTTCCTCACTTTTGCCTGTAGCCAGGAAAACAGGACCTTCCTTGAGACCACTAGACCTGGGCTGGTTTGATAGCAAAAGCAGTCAGCTTTAGTTTGTGGACAAACAGGTGATGCCAGGATAGGCAGACAGTAGGCCACCCAGATAACAGACCAGACTCACCAGTTCTGGTTCAGCCCTCCTTGGGGCCACATCTGCAGAGCCCTTAGGCTCAGAGGGCTGGGTAGTCCCAGCACAGCATGGTACAAACACACGGAGCCTGCTCATGTCCGCTCTGTCCGTTCCCAGACCCTTCCTTCAAGGGAGGACGTGGGAAAACAGAAGCACAAAGACACAGTGGTCTATCCAGGCTCACCATTTACCCCCATGGGCCTCCCTAGGCTATGCAGTCCAAGCTCCTATCTAAGATGCCTACCTGCATTCACAGCAAGACAGCAAGCACTGAGCACGGTAGTGGAGTGAGCAGGTAATAGTTTCCCCTGGCTCTAGCTTGGTGGCACAGACAGAACTACAAGGCCTGCATAGATCTGAGCTGGCTGTTCATGGAAACCCCACAAATAGGTCTGTCCTCATTTTCGGGAGGAACATGACAGGGAGTCTGCAGAGTCTCAGAATGACCAGTATGAGTCTGTCAAGATTATTCATCACAGCTCTGCACCTCAGCAAGAAATCCTGCTGCCCCTGCCAGCACAAATCTGCAACCCAGACAACCCACCGCATGTAACTGCTGGCTGAGCACCAGAAACCTGGGAACCAGGAGGACAGCATTTGATGTGATGTTCTGCTTTAGACTCCATCTAAAGCTCTCTATACATTATTTCATAACTAAAATGGCAACACCACTTCCTTTTTCCCCCAGCCATTTTCTAACTTAGCTACTTATAAGCAGCTGAGAGCGGGAATGAACCCCCGCGGTGCTGCACTCACGGTGACTGGTGCAGCGTGCACAGCTTTGTGTGAGCCAGCAATGTCACTCCTCCCGCTCCTGCGTACCCGGCTGTGAGGAGCTGGGCTTATCCCCAGGCACCTCAGCTGAACAGTGCTGCCACAGATGTTACTTTCATGCAGGAGGATAGGGTCTGAACTTTCACTAAGACCTCTGGGATTATCTTTAGGTATTTGGAAATGTGCTTTTAAGTATTATGCTCTCGAGTGTCTCACACAGCAGGGTAAGCAGGGATGTGGGTTGAGGAACAAAACACCAAACGATCCTTTTCTTCTCACTTTACCTGCCCCTGTTATGCTGAAAATAATGTACTATGGCATTTTTCACAGGAATGTAATGACAAATTCTTTTTTTCTTTCAGCTACGATGAATGTGTGGGGCCAGGAGCAACTCAAATCTATATTCCCACAGATGATCCCCCCCCATATTCTCTTACAGACCCTTGTCAAAGAAATGAACTATCTGTAAACATTAGCCTAGAAGAGGAAGCAGCATCTGGGACTACAGGACAGGCTGCAAATTATGCAGTCAGGCTGCAGGACTTGCAGCAGCCCATTTCATCCATCTCTTTGTCATCTCTTACTTTGGAGGCCGCTCCCCTGTATGAGACAGTGGTGTGTGAACAGAATATCCCCATCCCACTTGTTCCAATGGAAGTACTGAAAAATTCTTCCACTGACTATCAGACTCTTCTGAACCAAATCATGTGAATAAAAGTGGCTCTTTCCTTCAATTCTTCTGAAGAACTCAGACCAACAAAAACATTTAAATGGAAGAATAAAACCTGTGAAAGTTTTACCTATTTTATATCTTTAAATGGGGATGCAATGGGATTTTATTTTTTACAGTGAATTTTGAAAGTTTACCTAAGCTTCCCTGTTTGTGCTTCAAAGTGGTCCATGACATCACACAGCGTAAAAAAGCAGCAGTGACAAGCAGTGCACCCAACCTTTTTGAAGCATTTCAAACCACATTGCAATCAGCCATTTTTAATGTTGATACATGTTATCCAGTCAAGCCTACTTGTTGGTTTTATGATACTTTGCATGTTTTAGAGCAGAAGGAAAAAGAAGAGCATTTTGTTGTCTTTGTAGGTTTCACTAGTACATTTCATTCAGTGTCTTGGCAACAAAGCATTTTTAAATAATTCTTTGTCTAAATATGTATTTCAGTAGACAGAGACAGAACACTGCCTGCAAAACATGACTATCAGTAGCATACAGGAGCAAAAGAAAAAGGAGAATAATATTTTGATAATCACATTTTTCCTTTGGAAAGCCGGGCCAGTACCAGGCTTTCCAGACCATTGCAAAGCCTGCTGTAAGTCTTCCTCAAAAGAAACTAGCGGCAAGTGATGGAGAGGTGGCAGTGGATCCCCAAACACCAATTGGCTTTACCTATGGAAGCTGTACTACAGCTGCTTGCAGGCCTGGGAGCTGCGTGCCCTTCACGGGAACATGATATAGCCAAGGGAAGGGCAATGTCTGGAATCCCAGAGGATGCTTCATGGCAATTCCCACGCATGTTTGCTTTTTCAGGCACTAACTGGTCTCTTTCTCCAGTAGGGAACCTGCAGTGTTACAAAGGACCTTGACCTCTAGTAGTTGCATTAGTGTGATGTAAATAATAGATGCTGGACTTGGCATGCACAGTAACAGAGAACCTCAATTTGTGCGGAAACCTCTTTTATTAGGCATGATCCCTTTTACTGAAATTTTGCTACCCACGAATCTAGCTTTTGTTCATAGACCCAGACTTCTCACACATTCATGTGGTAAGCGTATACAAGTTGGAGATGTGCACTAGCAGGAACAGCAGAGGTAAACTGCAGATGTGAGAGTTTAATCTTACATGGTACACAAGCACCTATCTCCACATAAGGACTCAACTACGTCTTCAACCAGTACTAGTTATCAGAGGCTCATTTCCACTAAATCTCTTAAGAGGCATTTTCACTGAAGAAGAAAAAAAAAATAATTTTTTTTTTTACGCTGATAAAATGGGCTTCAGTTTACTACCCCCACTGAAGGATGTGTAAAAATGAGTATAGTAAATACATAATTGTGTTTAAAAGGAAGCATCATCCAAATTATTAAAATTGCACTTAGATTTTCTGTAAATACTAAATAATTTTCAACTGTAATCATCATTCAACATTCCAAAGATTGACACAATTATAATTAATACTTAGATGGGAAGTAATTATATGGTTCTTACTGCTGTATAAATTATACCATTACTGAGTCATATGCACATGATAAGGTAAGGTAAGTATGCATTTTTTTGCTAAGTAGATGAGAATAAGTATGTATTTTGCTAAAATAGCAGAATTCTTTTGCAGTTCAGCAAAATTTTCAATATTCTCAGTATACTATACCCAAACCAACAAAAATTCACAATTTTGCATTGCAAAACTGCTAGCAGGCATTGCCAGAATGTAGGCTATATTCCACAGAATTATTCTGCTGTATAAAGTCCTAGTGTAAACAGTTTTGCGGCATGCTAAGTATCCTGCAGTAAGAGAAGCAAAACTCTACACCATCCATTAAGGGCCAGAAATGGAAACCAACATAGAAATATACCAGTCAGTTTTATTGGCAGGAAAATAAGAAGGAAAGCACAGACATTTATTTATGCAGAATGGGACATGTTTTCATAGCTGTGTCTTCCTGCAGCTCCTGGACATCTGCCTAGAACAGGGTAAAGCACTGGGACCAGACCTGCTTACTTCAGGCTGCTATTGGGGAGGTGGAGGGAGAAATCTAATAAACAACTATTAGAAGGCAAATGTGATTCTACTTCCGCTCCCCCCAAAAAGTGAGTCTCTCTTTTACCTATAACATGGCAAACCTGAAGGTTCTTCTGAAGACAAGAACAGAGGGCTTCTCACATCTGGCAGGCAAGCCTCTACTCTGTTAGAGATGCTTACAGTTTCTGTGCATTTTGGAAAATCCTTTCAACCTGCTTGGCTTTTAACCTGACAGGGATTTTAAGACCTTCTGCTAACTTTCTATCTGTGGTTTACAAAATAAACTACTTTTAAGTAGGCCTCTGATGAAAATGGGAGATTTGTACTTTACCTCATGATAGAAATGCATTACTAACATTATAGAAAACTAATCAAAAGTCTTCATTTGCTAAGTTATGCATCCTTAGCATTGCAATCTGGATTGTATGTAGCAGCATTACTTACAAATAGCTGTCTACTCCCTCTTGTGGTATACTGCTTTATAAAGTCAAGTCATCTAGTTATCACTCTACACAGAGTTCATGATGAGGGACATCAAAATAATCCCCGCTTCTTTGTCACATGGATGTGGAAGCCAGCCAAAACATACAATTCCATACTGTAGCATTTTTCTAAGTTACCACTAAACAGGTTATGTCATTCATTATAAACAAATATCTTTAAAAAACTGTGAAGTCAAAGGAGAGTATGCTACCTTCAGTGATACCTTACCACAATCACTTGTAGGAGTGGCTTAGAATTTTCTACTCTTGCTAATCTTTTTCACTAGGTGATATCCAACAAAGTTGTGGGGGAAAAAAAGCTTATAAATCCAACCCATATACCTCTGCAAACAGACAATACTACATAGGGAAGTTTATAGCTCTAAAGCTGCTCTGACAACTTCTGCTGCTACTACTGGAACAGTGTTGAGATTTCTTGTAATGATGCAGTAAGAACATTATTTCATTTCTTGAAAAATATTTATGATCCCACATAAATCTCAAAGTTGATCGGGTGTCTCCTGATGCTCCTTTTAAGAAATCTATATCCTCCTATCAGATTTTATCCTAAACTCTTGCCTAACTATAATGCCAGTTCCAAAACAGGCTTAACACAGGCCTTTCTTTTATTATGTGATTAATATCAGAAAGAAACTGTTCGGACATGCTGTTTCTTGCTATGTGATAACAATACTGTATTTCTGTAGTCATCTCTCTTGCTTCGATTTTTAGTATACTACTCTTTACAAAAAACTTTTAGTAAAGAACATACAAGTATTCAATGTAGCTTCTGTGCTTTTTATTGCATCAGTATCACTTTGGTACTACCCACAGCCCTTAGCCTCCTGTTAATTGGGCAACTAAGCAACTGTTGACTAAGCAGCATCATAGTTCAGCCACTTACACTTGTCAGAGATCACAGGAATAAGCAGCCATGGGAGCAGTCAGCTCTCTCCTGCTCAGGGGATGAGTCAGTGTGTGCCCAGCCAGGATCAGCCCAGCTCACAACAGCAGGAAGGGAAAAGTCTGCAATACTGCTGCAGTGAAAATCGCTACCCTTGAAATACTCTCAGGAGGCATCAGAAACCCCAGAAACATTCATAGGTACTGAAGGTCAGGAGACTGGAAAATGGCAACATACCACCAAGGAGGGGGGGGGGAAAAAAAAAAAAAAAAAAAAAAAAAAAAGACACTGAAGGAAATAACAGGCCAATCTTCCCAGAAATATTCAAATAGATAATTTTTTAGCACAGTGAGATGAGTAACAGTGTATTTCCTGAATGGAAATCATATCAAACTGACCTAACTGATCACGGTACAGTCTGACAAATCATTCCCCTCCTTAAACTAGAGAAATACTCTCTATGTAAAATTATAACCACAGACTTCTGTAAATTAAAATAATAATCATGATACAAGAAAGTATTTACCAATTGCTTTCTGTTAGCTTGAAAGGATGTGTCAGGTGGGATCGCCTATGTCCTAATGAAAATACTGAGCATTGCTGGATTTCAGAGGTTTAAGAGAGAGAATGGACCTATTAAAATCAGCAAGTTACAGTAAACTAGGAGAGGCCTGAGTATGTAGGAGAGCAGGACACAGAGAAACAGCCTGGAAAGAACAAGATGCAATTCAGTGAACACAAATACAATTCCTGCACTTGAGAAACGTAGGCTCAAATTCACGAATGCACGACACAGTTAGACTGCAGGAGCATGTCTGAGAATTAGACTGAGACAAATATGGGCTAACTATGAGCAAATAACTACAAGTAAATAACTACTGGGGGAAAAAAAAAAGCACAACAGCAGCCTGTGAATATAAACAGCACTATTATTCTTAAAGCACTCAAAATAGTTCTCCACTCACTACTGCTCTGTTAGGAACCAGAGTCCAGGCTGAGGCTATACAAGTAAGGTGGCTGACAAACCTGAATGCCTAGAGAAAAGGAATAAAAAGGTTAAAAGGCCTGGTTATTTTTCTTGGTTTTGCATGACAGAGGATAGAAGCTGTTCTCCATTGCCATATAGAAATGGGATATTAGAATTAAGAGGAAACCGACAATTAGTGTTTTATAAATTGTAGAAAGATTACACGTTACCAGGAATGGAAAGGCAAGTTTCAGTCCTCTCCTTATAGTGGAGCTTTCCATGTCCTCTCTTTATTGCTGTCTGACAGTGTCTGACACTGCTTCATGGCCTGGGAATTGGCAGTTGTTCTTTTGTCACTTAATATTAGCAGCTTTCCAAACCCTAGATGTTCTGCCAATACCCTCGGGGAAAAGAAGATTCTCTTAGCCCAGACCACATTAGTGACACTGAGAACTACATGATTTCTAACACCATACTGTTGTCACAGCAAAAAGCTTTCAGTGAAAAAAACCTCATCACCACAATTACATCCAAGCACCTCCAGCTCTAACTCCATTGAAGTGATGTGTTACATGCGAAGTGGGAATTGTAGACAGATCAGAAACTAAATCACTGTTGGGCATTCAGAAAACATGATCTCATGCATCAGAATTTCCTCTCAGCTAGCAAAGTTCGTATTCATTTCCCTTTTCCTCAGCTCACAGTAACGTCTGTTTGAACACTAGCTATTGAACTCATAAGCATACGATAAATTCACAGCTTGGATTTCAGACATGTCCATGTGCGTATATATTCTCCCTCCCGTTAAAGCAAGAAAAAGTAATGAGCAAAATAGCCTCCATACCCAGCAGAGGCACAAAGTTAAAGCTTTAAGGAACCTAGAAGTATCCATGGTGGTCCATTCATGCTTTGGGTCCAATGACTTGATTCTCTTATTTGTTCTCCTGCATCTTCTATCAATATTGTTTAAATAACCCTCCTCCGCCTAAATCAGCCCAACTCCAATGGGAAAAAAAAAAAAAGTCAGGTATATAGCCTGATGCAATTCACTGGATATTGGCATTGTGTCTTTTGAACTCCAGGGAAATGGTAACAATTTGCATGTACAGCTGGAAGCGGCCATTCCTTTCTACTGACTTCCTCTTCTTTCCTAGGACTAATGACCAGGCTTTTGCCTTGCTGTAGTCTTAAAAAAAAAAAAAAATCTTTTTGATAGATTCTGTCTTCTGTTACAGTGAACCAAATACATTCACAATGGAGATATATATTTTTTAATTTAAATTCAAATGACAGTGAAGCAGTGAAAGAACCCTATAAAAATTAAGATCATTTTGTCACAGCTTTGCTCCTAGCAGGATTTTATATTTCTGCAAGAGATTGACATCAGTAACAAACAAAATTAATGCACCCAGAAAAGAGCAAAACTTCTTTGCAAAACATTCCAAAATCTCATTGAAGAAGGAGGAGCAAAATGGGAAACCTCAGCTCAGGGAACTGCAACTGGACTTTCAGGCACCTGGGTCATGGGCAAGTACTCTGCCCTGTTTGCAGTGATGGGATTGGTACCACACACGCACACACCAGGGAAGTGATTAACCATCCCTTTTAGAGAACTGGATTTTAAAGTATTAGGGCCTTAAAACACAGAACATCAATCCCACCCTTGGAGGCTGTGCTAGGAAACTTAATTCAGAAAATAAGAACGCAGTGATAGCTAGATAGATGAGACAACTCAGCATTTATTGTATTATGCAAATATGGTTTACTGAAAAGTGAAACACTCAAAAGAAACAGCAACAAAGCAAAATTCCCTGTATCATTCTACTAAAACACACCAGGCTTTAACAAAACACAGCTATTCTATATGTTAATGAGAACTGCAAAGGCTGAAGACTCCAACCACCCCCGTGGGAGCAGGTGTGCAAAAACACAAAATCCAACCCTCTCATTTGGGTCAATAAAGTTTTACATATGGCGAGAAGAGAGCTGAGCTGCCTGCAGGCACCCTACTAAGAGCACAGCCAAGCTTGTTGGTGTGCATGCACATATGGTAGGGGAGGAAACTCAGACATTGCAACAGATGGCCAGATGGCCTCAATTTAACATGTGGTGATAGTATGGGGATTTGTCCCCCCTTCCCTCTTGGCTAGATCAGCAATTTTTCTACAGCAATTATCCATAAACAAATTCTACAAAACTATTTCCTAATGACATTTCGCTTGGAATGACGATCAAAAGCATATGGTTTTAGAAAGCCCTCTTACCTGGAAAGTCAGAGAGAAAACCAGTTTGTTTGCAACACCACACAGCCACTTTCTGCAAGAAAGACAGACAACTGTGGTCAAGTAAGCCCAAGATTTCCCTTAATCAGGAGAAGTCATACATTCCCAGCGGTTAACAGTGAGAGAGATATTAATTTTAAAATCTGTCATATAATGAAGACAATCTATAATAAGACAATCCATTAAAAAAACATCAAGTCAAATTTACGCTTGCAACAAGTCAGTGGAGACAAGGTTGAAGACACCAACCCAACTGGTCTAGAACAAGAAATAAGATCATGGGAGGCCGATACCAGCACTGATTTATGAAATCACACAGGTGTACGACATCATAGCAGCCACGGGAAGCAACTCTAAAATTCAGATTCCAAAAATCAAGATTAACAAAGTCATCTGGATCAAAGTCAGGTTTGTTTTCCACCTGGACCTGACCTCCATTTCAAACACATCCCAGGGAACTTTTCTCAGAACCAAGTCTGTTTCAGGCGATTGTTACCCAAACCTAGTCCAGGCATTCAGAGACAAGAGACAACAAAACCAATAACAAAACAGGCGCGAGGAACACGCCATGTTACCGATGGCCTCATTTCGCCCCACAGCACAATTACCGTTAGGGTAATTCACCCTCACGCCAGCCCTTGAGACGGGGCCTCGCCCTGCCCAGACCCGTGCCCCCCAGCCCCCACCTCCCTCCGGGGGGGCCCGTGGCCAGCGGGGAGGGCAGCCGGGGCCACGGGGGCGGAACGGGGCAGGAGAGGGCTCGGGGAGGTCGGTCACACAGCGCTGCCGGACCCGCGGAGCGGGAAACGAGGGATCTCACCTCAGCGCGGTGGCAGCTCAC